TACCGTGACTTCATCTGACAGCTTGATGGTTACTAAGCATCACTGGATAAGAGATAGAAAGGCTATGTCTTCCTAACTGTAGATTTTAATCCACCAACAGAAGACTGTACAAACACTCATAGGAAACAGCTAGGCTTCATTTGGGGGTTTTGTTTTACTTTGTCTGGCACTAGAAGTTGCTATACAGGATGCTATACAGTACCTTCAGAATCTTGCCCAGTTGTCTGAGTCTGTGGCTGTCTTGTCCTGTTTGTAACACACAAGACAGTTTCCTATCCCTGCCTTGTCATTTCAGAATCAGGGCTGATCCTGGCGGCTCTCACTGCCCTGAACCTGCGGTGTTCTGCCACCTAAGGACTGCATGTCTCATTCTGTACCGTAAGAAGCTTCTCGTCCAAGAGCACACCCTGCTTCGGGAACAGAAATATTTCCCGCAGTGGAGCTGAAAAGGAGTTAATTTCTTACACTCAGAAGTCGATCTCATTATCTCTAAATTTATCTCTGTTTGGTTGATGTTTCTGGACTTTTTTTCCACGTCTCTAAAGGGCTGAAGCTGTGCCTGCAGTTTTAGATCATGACACCAGTGGTTAAGACAGCATCCAGCAGAGAAATCTGCAATCTGGCAAATAGTTAGTTATGCGTTTTTCTTGAAGACTGTTGATGACGAAGTCCACAGGCATAGCTTATAGAAAATTCAAATGCATTTCAGGTTACAAAACATGTTTCTACAAGCGATTTTTTAATAAGGATTTAAAAATACAATTTTCCAATATTTCTTGCTACTTTTGGGTTCTTGTAGAGTGATTCACTGTTCATCAAAGTATTCAATTTTGTTTAAATATACAGACAAATTATATATATAGTGTGTATATAATACATATGTATTTATGTATGTGTGCATGCATAATTTTTCTTTATTTTCTCATGATCTCCTGTAGAGTTGGGTCAGCAAGCTACACAATCCTGACCTTGTATAGTTAAGAAACAATAAGACAAAGCAAAGGAAAACCTCACAATAGTGTATGTCTAGGGGTGTGGTTCACTGACAATGTACTTGTGTAGCCTGGACAAAAATCTGGGTTTGATCACCAGACCAAGCATGATGGTACATGGTTGTATTTCTTGCACTTGGTGAGGGAGGCAGAAATAGGAGACTTATATATTAAAGGGCATCCTCAGCTACATAGCAAGTTCAGGGCAACCTAGGATATTTGAGATCCTGTCTCCGATGATAATAATAACAACAGCATCTTGTCTTCAGCTTCTCCCCATCACCAAGTTTGTAACCCATGCATCCTGTCGTGTCGACAGGGCTGGTCACTCTTCGGGGAAGAAGCTGGAGGTCTCCTGTAAGGATTGGGTGTAGAGTCAGCCCACACCACCATCCCTACCATGGTGGTAGGGCCATTAGAGGGGCCAAAGGTCACTAGGTGTGAAACAGGGATGGTGTCAGTCAGCAGGGACATTTTCTGCCTCTCAACATTTCTCCCTGCTTCCCTGTGCAGCACCCCCAGCTGCCTCTCTGCCCGCTGTGTCAGGATTAAAATAGCTCGGGCTTGGTGACTTCACTGGTTCTCACAAACGGGCCAGTTGGCAGAAGGCAAATGCTGCCTGCTCCTGAGGGGAGGATTTCTTTTTGGCTGTTTGTCTCTTTCCATATTACCCCCTAATACGAATACTTGGTTTCATTTTGACTCTGTAAGACACTTCCTTTCTGAGGTTCAGTTCAGCACAAATGCCATGCAAATCTCTTTAAATACCTTTAAAAGGCTCAAGCTAAAAGGAGGTCACTGGAAGCCAACACTGAGCATCAAGAATGTATTATAATTTCTGAGGTGAAACTTCAAGGACACCGAAACTACCGCGGAAGTTAACCTGACATAACACATCAACATTTCGTTTATTAGAGGGCCAGGTACCTACATCAAAAATACTAGCGATGGTTGATAATCGGTCGCAATTTTTAATGTCTCATTTCTCATGCTTTCTCTGGTACTACAAGTGAAGATGTCAACACAAAGTACCAAGAGCTGATCAGAGTAAGATGGCAGAGGGTTTTAGAAGATCCCTTTTCACTATCCCAGGTCAGGTAAACTGTAAAACTGAAAGGGAAATTGGCATACAGCATTCATGTAATAAAAACAGCACACTTCACAATCAAATAACCGAATCTTATCTTAGCATTTAGACTATTAGAGTTTTCTGCTTCCTTTTATAACACATATTAGTAAGAGAATATTGTATGAAAAAGCAAGTCTTATTATGTTCCAGAATAATAATTCAGTGCTATGTCCGCACTGCATTTTGAGTTGAAGAGAGCATTTAAATTAACTGCATCAGTGCCCTATGGACACGAGATTTATATGCGGAGAGAAGACTTCCATATGACTCTAGGGAGATGGAGCTAATGAAATAATGTGGTTCACTGGCTAAGGACGGCCGCTCTGAAAGGGGACAATCACCATCCCTAAGAGTGGAAGAGAGTCACCATTATTGTCTTCACAGCACACCGCCATTCTTCTCAGCTATCCTGGGATCCTGAGCATCTAAGCAGTGACGGCCTCTTATAGCCACCATGATGAGAAGCCATCTTGCCCTGCCTATGCCAATCAAGACATCACAGAATTTTGCCGTGACTATGAAAACATCTAGATGACAGGGTATTTTAAAACGTCCCACTACGATGTATTCATTACGCACGCATATACTGAATAACTCATGCGCAGTGAGAACAGTAGATGTACCGTCCACAGGGATAAAGTGGATACCAAGAATGGCCTTTCAGAACTTCACCTAGGACCTGAAAAGAGATGGTTTGGTTTGTGAAGTACAAGTTGCCCAAGCCTGAGTACCTGAACTCAATGGCCAGAACTCACGTAAAAATGCCGGGCATGATTCCCAACCCTGGAAGGTGGAGAAAGGCTTACCAACCAGTCGGCACAGACTACTCAGAGGCACAGGCCAGTGAGCGACCCTGTCTCAAGAAACAACTGGGATGCTGTGATGGTTTGAAAGAGAATGGCCCCCATAGGGAGGGGCATTATTTGTTAGGAGTTGTGGCTTTGTTGGAAGAATTGTGTCAATGTGGGGGCGGCAGGCTTTGAGACCTCTTTTGCTCAAGCTTCCCTCAGTGTGGCCATCAATTGACTTCCTGTGGCCTGTAAGCCAAGATGTAGCCAGTACCACGTCTGCCTGCATGCCGCCATGCTCCCTGACACGATGATAAAGGACTGGAGCTTTGAAATACAAGTGAGTCACACCAATTAAATATTTTCTTTATAAGAACTGTTACAGTCTTGGTGTCTCTTCACAGCGACAAAAAACCCTAACTATGACAGATGGCTTCTAAGTATTTATACCCAAGCTCCACCTCTGGTATTCCCACACTTGCACATACAAGTGTGTAACACACAAGGCACACAAACAAAGACAAACAATGAATTTCACTGAGTCCTTCCTTTAGCTAAGCACTGTACAACTGCATAGCTTTAGCCCTGTGACGGCTGCCATCACAGTATGTGTCAAAGCCAGAGGTCAGTCTTTTCCTCTATCCCTCTCCATCTTACTACTTGGAAAAGGCTCTCTCTCGCTGAGACTGGAACTTGCCAACTGGCTATAGTGGTGTCCTTCACGCTCTGGAGCTCTCTCTGTGCCTGCTGTCCTGCTCCCTGCCATCTTAGGGATACAGGCAGAGTCCACCACACCTGTCATTTCCTGCTGGTGCTGGAAAACCTAACTGCATGGACCATGCTAGCGTGGTAGAGACTTTACTCACAGCCGTTTCCTCAGCCCTTGAGATCTTGTCCCTGCTGTCCTAGTCTATCGGGATGCTTCGTTTTCATTGTCAGTTAGACTAGATTTAGAATCACCCCGGAGAAAAGTACTCTGGGTATGTCTATGAGTTCCCAGACTGAGAAAGGAAGGCCCTTCCCTGAAAGTGGGTGACTCCATTCAATGGCTGGGTTTTCAAAATGGAAGAAAAAGGCAAACTGAGCACCGGTAGTCATTTCTCACTGCTCCTAACTTGGATCCCATGTGACCAAGCATCATACGCCCCTGCCTTCATGTTTCCCTACTATGATGGACTATGTTCCTTTTAAAAATATAAACCCAAATGCCCTTCTTTCCATACATTGCTTCTTGGAAGGCATTTGGTCATAGCAAAGAGAACAGGAGCCAGCACACTGATGAAAATACTGGGAAGAGCTTGGTTATAGTTTTAGAAGAAAGCTTGTGAATTTAAGAGTTATCATACCTAGCTTCAGAAGCAAACAAAGAGTTGGGGTAAATGTGAGCATTGAAGGTCAACTATAAAATAATATTAAAAATAAATTTATTCACACCGCGAGAGAACAAACTGAGCAATCAATGATGGTAACTTATATAAGCATCAAATTTTAGAGCCATAAAAGACCCCCAGTAGACTTAAAAATTTCACCTTTTACTAATAAAATCTACAATAGTTGAGTGTCTAACAAATTACAGAGCCACATAGGTAAAAAATTACATCTCCAATTAACATTAAGATTTATTTACCCTGCTTTTGCCCTGCTATTCCAATTCAGATGCACACATACATATATGTTATTCTATATCTGATTTCTACTCTAACACACTTATACAGACCTACATAAAACTTGTCTCAGACACTTCCAATATCACATTAGTGTCTGCTCCATATACATGCAATTTCCTAACCCACTCCCACATAACATACACACCCAATATTCTATTAGCGGTAGAATCACAGGCATACAACTGTATGCATACCCTACTGTTAAATACATCCACAACTCACATATATGTTCTTTATTGTTCTGTATCTGATTTGTCCATCCATAAATATATGTGTTTCTCATTTATATGTATATTTCTACTGACATATTTCTATTGTACACATATAAAGAAGCTTAAAACATGTTTGTAAAGTAATAAATAAGAATGTAACCAAATCACGCATAAAACCATAAGATCACTATAGCATATTTCAGGAAATTTACCTGGACTTATTTACATCTATGACTTCCCACAGACATGAGGAGTATGAAACCAATGAGAAGTGTGGACTCTTGATAGGGATCCAAGTACACGAAGACTTCTAGTTCTTAGTTCATGCTGAGGATAAGGTGGTGTTTGTATTGTATTCTTTTCACACTGTGGGGCAGGTAAGGGATAGAAACAGAAACCATGGTTAGATCTGTATCCTCATCCTAGGATAAAATCCCAGTTTCTGCACCCATATGGTACAAGATGTGAATGAGCAACAGCGTTTGGGATGCTGGTTCCAGAGCATGATCTGAAGAACTGTTTCCCTCTACACCAGAGCTGAGAATCGAGCAGCTCTGAATGACTTCTTTTGACACACGAAACTGGGATTGGTACAGGGCTCTACAAACATCAGTGGTAAGACTCTCTGAGGGTTCAGGTATCATAGACATAGATACGTTGAGGGAGACCTAGAATGGAGCTAGAAGTCCTACAGGAACAGGGAGGAACATTAACAGATTACTGTGTATGGTAAGACCTTGTCCCGCAGAGAAGACTAAGACGTAAATTTAAAAAAAAAAACAAAGGAGATGCAACACCCAATGGCTGCAGTTGCCGACTGTACAGTGTAAATTTCTGGAATCTAACAAACCATATAGTCAGTACTGTGGACTTATGTTTTCTTCTTTAAGCTACATGTACTACGAGATTAGTCTACTTCTACTTAACCATAAATAATTCCATTTTATTATTAAGTATGAGCATTACCGACTCATATATGCATTATATGGAAAGATCTTTTCTGTAGCCAAACCATGAGGCATCATTTTAAGATCCTCTGGGTAATGTTCTCCATGTCTTAATGAGGATATATAAACACAAAGTATAGTGATATATACTAGGTTGAATATGCACATCTTGTGTTTCTTAGATAAAGCTAACTGACAGTTACTCACTGGATAAGAGGCCTTTTGTCTTGGAAGGTACTTATCTCTCTGGCCTTGGAAGACTGCAGTAAAGGTCTCTTGAAAATGAGGCATTATTTCTCAAAGTTAAAGGCTCTAGGCAAATAAACCACAGGTACTTTGAAGTCCATTTTAAAGAGCATATCCATTGCCTAAGATGAGGATCAAGAAGAGTGGGCTCTGGGTAGATGTTTAGGGGACAGAGCAGGTAAGGTCAGCAAGCAGGTGACCACAAACTGCAGTGTGACTCTAAGGTGGTGGCATACTTGACAGGTATAAACAGGAGAGGCGTGAGTTCAAGACCATTTTTGGCTCCATAGCAACTAGACCAGGCTACATCAGATTCTGTCTCCTCAACAACATTAACAAAATGGAAAGAGAGCCCTTCTGTCAAGAAACACAAGGAAAACTTCTAAGTTTAATGGGCCAACTACAAACTAATAATCAGGCTTGCCAAGAAGTAATTTGAGCAACCATGCAAAGTGCTCTAAAGTTAATTAGAAAAAAATGTTGCTTCATTAGATAAAGGCCAAAAAAATAAAGTATTTTTTTTTGCAAAATAAGAGAGTATGTATTTAAAGTAGAAATATGGTTTTCTTGATCTTTACAGCAATAAAATCTCTAACTAAGACAGCATCTTTTAGTATCCATCTAACAAATATGCTAGAGGCAACATCCACTTAGTCAATGGTCTAGATGAACCAGTGATCTCTAGTCCCTTCATAAATCATACTGGCCAATGCGCTTGGAATGCTTCCAAGGAGGTGGCTCTTTGGGGCAGACTAAAAACCTCTGCTCCCATCAGTGGATGCCTGGCATAATTAAAGTAGTTTTTGTCTTCAACCTGTTTATTAGGTAATACCATGTTGTAATGATAGGATTTAACTGAAGGACTACTAAAACCTGAGAGATAGGAATATGGAAAGTAGCAGAGCATCTATGAAAAAAAAAAGGTTACAGCTGAGAAAATGCTCTAAGATGAGCCTCCTACAATAGTATTTCTCCTGTTTTGAACAGGGTGTGGAGCAATTACAAATAGCTTCATCGTCACTTCATTTTTAAGATATTAAAACCAAGGTACAATCCAGAGGAGATTGATTTTAGTGAGAAATGATAAGCACTTGATCCAATTTGTTTTTGTGTTACTATGACAAACATTGACGAAAAGCAACTTGGCAAGGAAAGGGTTCATCTCATCTCATGGAGTATAGTCCATCATTTCAGAAAACAAGGGAAGAAGCTTAAGGCAGGAGCATAGAGAGAGAAACTGAAGCATAGACCACAGAGGAATTCTGCTTACTGGCTTGCTTAATTTGGTTTCTTACACAACTCAGAACCACCTGCCCAGGGGTGAGCCATCCACTCTGCCCAACACATTACGCCCAGGACTATAGATAGAAAGAATAGCAAGTTAATCTATTCACTTCCAAGTACAGTCAGTTGGGACTGTAACTAAGAGGCAATGCCAACCACGGAGAAGAACATGCCTTGCTCTGGATTTGGTGGGGTGCCATGAAAGTAGCGAGATTGTAGAGGAAACCTAGAGAGAGCCTATGCGATTTTGAAAAAAGTAGAAAATAAGAACAACATTAAGAAATGCAAAATCAACAGGATTTAGTGGTAGAGAAGAGGTAAAAGCTATGGGATAAAAATGACAAACACAATCACCAAGTTTGAGGATTTTATATACTAGGAGATAAAGAACACAGTCGGGACCATGAATTTGAAATGTTATACATTATATCCATAGGGAAATATGTAACTAACAGTCGGCTATCTACATCCAAGCCCCAAGGAAAACGAAGGTGACAATTTAAAATGGAATTGGAGCCTGAAGGCAAAAATGAGCCTGCTCATGGAAGCAAAGCAAAGGACAGGGAGTGCAGGGAAGAGTGGGAACACCAGTTCTAGAGGCAAGAAAGGAGAACTCACTTCCTCAGCACACAACATCGGTGTGTGATAGACGGAAAAGAAGCAAGAGATCTCAGAAGAGAGCTTCTATGGAAAGAGTCAAACAGACATTGCCATGGTAATTTAAGTCACCTGATGTCTATCTGTAGTGGCCCCTTTCCTAATTTTCTACAGTATGCCTAAGGCATTGATAGTCATGGTTTTGATCTTTCTGCTCATATGCACTAGATGAATGAGTGTTCGCCAAATTTCTAAGGGGTCTTCACCTTCAAAGGGATGGCAGATGAGGTATTGCAATGTGACTGTGCTACAGTCACACCCTTTATGAAGGGGATCCTGACGGGAGGGCTGTAGGTCAGTCGTAGAGAACAGGCGAGGTCCTCCATCAATCCCAAATATGAGAGAGACACAGTGTGAATGAGAGACACATGGAAAGGTGGAGATTGACAGACCCCCAGGAATTCTTTATTTTCTTTCTGCCATATGAGGAGACAAGGAGACTTTCGCCATCTGCAGCCAAGAAAAACACCTGTCACAAGAGGACCTGGCCACACTGGTGCTCCGATCTTAAATTTAAAAAAAAAAAAAAGGTGAGTCACAAAGGTCTTATAGGACAGTGGATGGGAGAAGAAGAGGGAATGTGGGCAGGACAGATGGAAGGAGAGAGGAAGCAGCAGTGAGGAAAAGTGTACACGACCAAGAGAAGGAAACTGAAGACTTAAGTAGTAAATTAGTCAAATGAAAAGCAAGGTCAAGTGTGTAACATCACAAAAACCCAACAGGCAGCAGTTTGGGAACCTGTGCACCAAGTGTGAGCTACCCAACAGGTGTGCAGCATTCAGCTGCTGGGGTTGGAGGGCGAGAGGAGGGCCAGGAAGCAGAGAGAAACTCTCTGAAGAGCTCTTCTTCAACTGAGGGGAAAAGAGAGAGTAGGGGATCTTTCCTAGAGGAAGAAACAGTAAATGAGGGCTCTTTCAAGAATATAACAAGAACCTGCCTGGCCTACAGGGCAAAATTCTGTCTCACAACTAGCAGACAGGAAGCTGACAGAGATTCAGACATTTTCATCTGGAAGAAGCCCAGGCGGTAGATTATAATGCTATAATTAACAGTCTGAGACCCGAAGAACTGGCCCTCCTCAGGGCGAGAAGGAAGGAGGGAGACAGTGCCTGACAAAGGGAAGGAAGAAAGACTAGCTGAAGGAGTAACTGAGGAAGTTCCTGGTTCCCGGAGAGATGCTCAAGGTGTGGTACTACTCCTTCCTGTTGGGGAGCCTTGTTCCTGCAGGGGTGTGGGATGATCAGGCAGCCCACCGCCCCAGGATTTATAGCAAGTCTGTAACATTTCCTTCATCAATGAGTAAAGGACACTACCTTTCGTTTATAGAATCACAGGTGGCCAAGTTATTAATAAACCCAAGGAGAGGCTGAAGCGATGACTCAGTGGGTAAGAGCATTTTTCTTTGCAAGTGTGCGCGCGGATCCCAGCATCCACATTAAAAGCTACCTATGGCCACATCTGCTATAAACTCCAGGGCTGTGGGAAACAAGGAGGTTGGCTGGGACCTGATGGCTGTGGGTCCAGCTCCCGTTTCACTGAGACACCTTATCTCAAAAGGATAAGGCAGAAAATGATAGACATTTTCCTGACATCGTCCTCAGGCCCCCACATGTACGCCACATATGTGCCCAAATTACACACGTATATTTACCATATGCACATACTCCACACACACACACACACACACACACACACACACACACACACACACACAAAAATCAGTAAACACAAATAAACAATAACAAAACAATAGGAGTTCAATAGTCGCAAGAAGCAACTCATGCAAGCTATCAATTTAATATATTCTTACCATGCACATATACACACTAATGAAATAAAGGCATCAGAAAATAAAGCATACACCATAACCTTTATGGAACTATGATGCTGATGATAATGTTAGCTATCATATCATACTGTGATAATGATTATAGTTACTTATTCTCGCAAGCTGGACACCCCTATATAAAAATGACACAAGGTTTGTGAGTCTAAACCATGTCAAACAATTGTGGACTCCTAATTGCAACCTGCCCGTTACCCGGGGAGCATGTTACTATACCTGAGCAAAATATAAATTTTAAAAAGGGAATTAATCATTGTTTTACATGGCTAGTGGGGAATGTTGTCAGCAACAGCCTCAGGCTGTAATCTGTAAGGCTAAACTTTGTTAGTGTTCATTAAGTTTTAACAAGTGAATGAATGATGAGTTAAAATGGCTCGGACAACAAA